ATCAGCAGCTGCTTCGCCAGATGGGTGTCCACGGTCGAGGGCGCGATCGCGGCCCATCACGGAGGGACGGCACCAATGCAGTCGAGGGCCAACGGCGTCCAGCTGGTCGTCGGCCCAGTCAGGGAGCCCGAGCGCGTCAGGTCTCAACCTCTGCGCGATGGTGTTGCAGCCTGGTGGGGCAGAGGGCACACGATCCTCAAGCAGGCTTGCCGACATCGGCGGCGTAACAATGGCAGCTTGCAAATGGGTCATCTTTCACAAGCAGCTTTGGGTTTAGCGGATCAGCCGCTGGACGGAGCAGGATCTTGTTTCGCAGGCACGCTCGGGCTTAGCTGGTCCCAATTTCTTGGAGCGCTTCGGAGTTTGCAGGTTCAGACCTTGGACGAGCTAGTTCGGCTGGAAGAGGTGGCTTTCAAATCGGCGAGGAGAGCACAGAACCGTGCAGCCTCGGCGTCACTTCGCGAATTCCAGAACTGCATTGGCTCGGTGGACAGTTTAGGTGCTGTACACAAGGCGATCAAAGATCTGGCTCCAGAGTTGGACGAGTACCACATCGGGGATAAGAAGCTGGTGCACCCGCTGGAGATAGTAGACGGCAAAATCTCTCGGTGGCATCAGTTGTGGACCTCCAAAGTGTCAGATCACGACGACATAATGCGAGCGTGTGGCTTGATTCGTGAACACGCTGAAGTGGAGCAGCTGGTACCCCTCTCCATCGAAGAGGCCAGGGGAGCCCTGGCCAAGATGAAGCCCCGCGCGGGGCAAGGGGTGGACAGGCTGTCGCCCTTGGACTTCAGCCGTCTGCCCGATCAGGCCATAGGCGACCTTGTGGAGCTGTTCGCGATGATCGAGGAGGGCCTCAGCTGGCCGTGGCAGGTGCCGTGCGTGCTGGGGCGTCTGCTCGGCAAGAAGTCGGGCGGTGATCGGTGCATCGGGCTGCTCGGCATGCTGTGCAGAGTATGGTCGCTCGCACGGGAGCCGCTTGTGCGAGGCTGGGCCGACCAGCAAGATGATTATTGGGACGCTGCCCTCGCTGGGAACAGCGCCTTGAGGGAGGCGTTCGTGCGGGCGCTGGAGGACGAGGTGCAGACCTCCCTTCACCTGCCCCATGGGCAGGCCCTGCTGGACGTGGGGGCCTTCTACGTCGGCATTGAATGGCCCATTCTAGCGGAATGCGCGATCAGAAAAGGGTATCCCCCAGTCGTGCTGTTTTTGGAGGTGTGGTTGTTCATGGCACCTCGCCTTTTGTCACAGCTGGATTCGTACTCGTTACCATTTCAGGCCACGAAGTCGGTCATTCAAGGATCACGCAGTGGCACTCGGTTTGCGCAATGTATCACAGCAGTGGTATGCGAGAAGTTGGCGATCGCTCGCCCGTCGATGTCCCAGAGGATTTGGATCGACGACTTGCTGGAGCGCGCGTCGGGCAGTCGTGAACATGTTCGAGGTACTCCGGTGAAGGCGGCCACTACCACGGTGAAGGAGTTTCGGAGGCTCAAGCTGGGCATCGCGGCTAAGAGCGTGGTGGTGTGCTCCATCCACCAGGACGCGGTGCAGGTAGCTCGGCGGCTGCGGCGTCACGGCATCGAGGCTACCCCTGTGCTGCAGGCAGCCTACCTTGGGATCGATCTCGCTGGAGGGCGTCGCCACGGCAGGGACACCGCGCGCAAGCGGGTGAAGAAGTCGGGGGCCTCTCACCAACGGCTCCGACGCTTTGCAGCAGCTGCGAGACGGTGGTCGACAACGAGCATGATCCAGAGGACGGGCCCTCAGGCCTCGGCCTCATACGGCCACCAGGTCTTGGGCTGCTTTGGGTCGGTGATGCTTAGTCACAGGCGACGGCTAGGAGCTGCAGCGGGGTCACACAAGCGGGGGCGCTGTTTGACCTCGTTGTTAGCTATACGCCTGCCTGGAGCTGATCCAGGAGTGGTGCTGCCGAGGTTGTGCATCACGCAGTGGTTGGATTGTTGGCTGCGAGAGCCGCGACTTCGTCCGTCTATTCGGTTGGCGTGGTCACGTACAGTGGATAGGCTACGCCTTGTCCCTGCTGGTCAACGGAGTCTCCACGTTCGCGGGCCAATGTCTTCAGCAGTGTTGTATTTGTTACAAGCTGGATGGATCTTGAAGTCTGCTACGGAGTGGCAGGTGCCGAGTGACGGGAGCAATATGGAGCATACCTGGGAGTTTTCCACAGGTGCTTTTGTTGGCCTGGACCAGGCTCGGCCACTTTTGCAGGAGTTCGAGGACACATTGTACATGCAACTCTGGGAGGGAGCAGCTGGCTTGTTTTGTGGCGGCGGCCTAGAGCAGGGCGCTGATTGGCAGAGCTATCGTGCTTACATTGCGATGCTCCTCCACGCCAAGAAGGGGCGTCAGTTGTCGGAGCTGATGGTGACCATCGCCACGGGCGGCTACTGGACTCAGGAGCGTAAACGTGCGGCCAACCTCAGCAATTCCGACCAGTGCGAGCGGTGCGAGGAGGCGGTCGACACGCCTCTGCATCGCAATTGGTTGTGCAGTAAAAACCAGGGGTCAGCAGCATATGTTCAATCCGATTGTCTGGTCGTGGAGGCTCAGGCAGAACATGAAGCGTGCCCGTGCTTTTGGATGAGGGGGGTGATTCCCAGTGAGTGGACCCGCGTTCCCGCGCCTGCTCAGGAGGAAGCTTTTTTCGGAGGGAATCTTCCCGAGGGGCGTCTCGGTCCTGGGTGTCTCGGCCAAGGGACTCGGGACCTGCCGATTTACATTTTCGGGGACGCCTCTGGGGGAAAATATACCCATGATAATAGGCTGCGTAGAGTAGGGTGTGCGGTAGCCACGTTCAATAGCTTTGTTCCTTGTGAGCTCGGTCCGCACTTGTTAGGGCCTCTTGTGGGGCCGGCCCAAACGGTCCCTAGGGAAGAAGTTCAGGCTTTCGAATGGACCATTCGTTTCACGACTGGACCCATAGTGTACATCACTGACTGTGCCGAGGTTGCTCGAGGGTGGTACGCGTCTGCGAGTGACAGTCCCGAGGGCCCTCAGGCAGATTTGTGGCGTAGCATCGGTCTCACCCTCGCAGCTCAGAATAGGAGTGCTAGTGATATTGTTGTTGTGCAGGTACCATCCCACATGTCCGCCAGAGAGGTCCTCCAGCGTGGGTGGGACAGTTGGCTTGTAATCGGCAACGCTTGTGTTGATGTGCTTGCAGGGTCGGCCGCTACGATGGCCAGGGTCCCAGAGGCCGACAGATTCAGAGTGCACCAAGTCGAACGCAAGGCGAGACTAGTCAGGAGGCGTCTTCTTAGAGTAGGGTTAGATTCTATCCAGGCTTCCCAGGCCATCAAGGCCAAGGAAGGGGTTCCCCTGGCCCCGCCTGGCCCCCCTGCTCCTCGGCCTCCTCCTCCTCTCGCTCTCGCTCGTTTCGCTTCTGCCCACACCCTGACCGAAAATGGCAGAGCGTGCTCGGTATGTTTCAGTTCGTGTTCTAAAGATAAGGAGTCCGAATGGTTGAAAAGCGCTTGCAACCCTCCCCTGCCTGTGAATGCTAAGTTATCCCGAGCCCCCCTAGGACGGAGTTTACACTTGGCAGGTGGCTGGACGCATCCCTCACACGCCCTTCGGTATCACAAAGACCTTGGATTATGGTTTTGTGGGTCGTGCGGATTTTTCGGTCAGGCCCAGCTCAGGGGCTTAGGTAATCCTTGTCGCCCCCACTTAATCACCAAGGCCAGGCGCGAGTATTTGAATCGGATCGATCGCGACCTGTTTCCCAAGTGCTGAGCTCAGCCTTTTATCACTACGTGATGGCGGAAATCCTGGAAATCCGTGCCCTCCTCCCCTGCTTTCCTTCTGTGTTCTTCTCCCGTGGTCTTCCCCCGTGCTTTCTCCCCCCCTGTGCTCTCTTTTCTCTCATCTGAATCTGCGTGGTGCCTCACTCCGCCGGACCCCCTAGCAACTCTCGAAAGTGGCGACAATTTCGCAGATCGCAGCCCCCCGGGGATGGCGAGGTCTAGTCTGAATCTGGGTGGTGCCTCACTCCGCTGACCCCCCCCAGCAGCCCTCTAAAGTGTCGAGGTAAAGGCAGGAGGAAAGAGGAGAGGAGGAAGGAGGCGGGAAGGAAGGAAGGAAGGAAGGAGGTGTGCGACCGCGGTGCTCGATTCAAAACAAGTACCCAACGCAGGAGATTTGGGATAAAGGCCCCGATAACACCCCAAAAGACATCAAACATACGTAACACTCAGTAAAATTCGAGACCTCCGCCCCAAGAGACAATCCCCAAGACGCCAATAAGAATCCCCCGAGCGTGCCCAAGAATCCCTCATAGCCTCAACCGTGGACTTTCCATCTCTTCCAAGGGTCGGCGGAATGGCGTAAGCATGTTGAATCACAGGCGTCTGGCGTCGTAACATTTCCTGCGGGGGTGCGCCGAGAATGAGGGCCAGGAGGAGGGTGGTTAGCACATCACTGCCCGAGGACTGTGCGCGGACAGGAGGGGAGGCAAGGGCCAAGGGACGTACGTACAAGATTGAGAGAAGAAGAGCGGGGGCCCAGAATCAGAGAGGGTTCATGGCCGACATCCACCCCGCCCTAATCCTCGCCCCACTCTTCTGCGGTCCCGAAGCCATCTCGCCACCATCCCGAGACCGGTGCTTACCCCGTCGGGGCGGGCCTCAATATCGGCCACCAGACCCGCCCTGAGATGCGCTCTGACTAAAAACGGATCCAGCCGTTGCGACGGGGAGGCTCAGCAGCTGCCCAAAACGTGCAAAACCATCGTACCTGCTTTTCGGGCGTTGCGCAGTGGAGAGTGAATGCGAGCGCCGGCGGCTGCGGCTGCACTTGCCTAGAATCTGTCGGTACAGCTGGATAGGCCAGAAGAACATCCCTCAAGAACACGAGACCCTTTTGTGTATGCTGGGGGCCCCAAAAGGGCCGCCTGGGGCTCCGAACGGGCACATTTCTCCCACCCCTGTTCACCGCCCCCCCATGCAGCTCCCAACCTCCCGATGAGCCGGGGCCTCCGGCACAGCTCCGCCAGGGGCTCCCACATGGTCTCGCCGAGGATGTACACGGGGGCCGCCTTGTCCTCGTCCTATCCGGGGTGCTTGGGCTTTGCTGAACGGGGGGGCAATACCCATGGGGTGCGAAGAAACGTGCACACTTCTTGTCCCTTTCGGGCCGCAGGGAGCGCCTCTCATGGCCCCTAAGGTGCCCACGAGAGGTGCACCTTTGGGCTCTTTCTTCGTCCTTCTCCCTCTCCATTCATCGCCCCGCCCACCACTTAGCGCCCGAGGGGACCCGCCTTCCCGACGACGGCGCTGGCGGCCGACGCATCCTCGGAACCCGGCCGCTGGCGGCCCTGCAGGGCGCACCGAGCGACTATGTGGGTGGGGCACGGAGGGACGGAAATGTGGGGCGGCACGGTCCAGCCCTCCGCCCTGCCCTTCCCTGTTTTCCCCCTCCCCGTCCTTGCCCTCGTCCTCGTCCTCCTCATCCTTACTCTCCTCCTCCTGCTCGTTCTCCTCGTCGTGCTCTCTCCTTCGTCCTCCGGATTTTCCTACCCCATGTTTGTCCTCCTCCTCCACTTCCTCCTCCTCCTTCTTACCATTGCTATCGTCTTCCTTCTTCTCCTTTTTGTCATCCCTCCTTCCTTGGGCCTGGAGTGGTACCACTTTTTCAAGCTCAACGGGGAAGCGGAATAGGATTGGGGAGATTACGGAGGAGCGAGGAGGATGGCGTCAGGGGATGCATGTGATGCGCGGCGGGGCCAGCAGGTTGGGCTCCGAGGTGGAGGCTTCAGGACACACCGATCCCGCACAGGTGGCCACTGGCTCGGGATCGGTGGATGCGCCACCCTGGCCAAGCCAGGAGAGGGCATCTGGGTCACCCGAGCTCGTGCCCCGCGCTGCGCGACGCGCCATGATCTCAACGCCAACGCGCCGCCCCTCTGGAGAGAAGCAGCCTCGCAGCCTGGGCATCCGAGCGGGGTCATTACCGCGCCCCCGCGGGTGATCCCAGAAGGCTTCGCCCCCGAATTAGCGCTCAAGGTCCCTCCCTGTACTCCCCTCCCGGAACCAATTCTGGCCAATTGTTCGAACCACGTCCAGCCGTGTCCACAACGTCGACGATGCTTCGACATACTGTCTCACCGGCTCGGGTCAGTGGGGTACGTAGACAAACAGGGAGGGAAGGGGGAGGGGGAGGAGGCAACGTAGGGGAGTGGGGAGGGGGGAGGGCAGGGCCGGGCAGGGTGGGAACGAGGGAGGCACGTATCTGCAATTGCCCGTTTCAATATTTTCCGCGGAAGCTGTTGCCCTGGACGAGGCCTTACAACCACTGGCGACCACTGTATGACATAAGGCCAATGGCCGTCAGCACGCCGACGCAGACCCTGGGGGAAGAAAAGAAAGGACGATGAGGAAGAGGAGGCCACCCAACCCGCCCTCTGGGAACACTGAATCGGGACCCGCAAAGGCCTTCCCGCGATGACGTTACCGCGCCCAGGCCCAAAACTTAAACTTCGGGACTGGCGCTCGACCCGCCTCTCTGGCGCGCGGAGCGAAACGGGGGCGGCGCCGGCGGCGCCGCCACGGGGGACTCGGCGCCGATCCGTGAAATCCGCGGAGCTCAAAAAAATCATGTGCATGTTTGGCGAACGCTGTGCGATGGGGGGTCGATGCACCTGGCGTTCGCCACCTTCGCACGCTGTCCCTGGCCCGGCGGACGTCGCGCCCTGTGCACCTCGAGCCATGCCGTGGGGGTCACTGCTGGGGGGGTCGTCGGCTCCTCCGGGAAATGGAGGATCGAGGAGGAGGGAGGCCCCCTGATAACTACCCTCGAACTAACTGGGCGAGCAAAAAGCGGGGACAATCTTAGGGATGCGCCCTCAGAAACTGATGGAACCCTTAAGATCGGCATCGAGGTGAGGTGATGCCAGACGCAGGGATCGGGCTATGTCTCGAACTGGTAAACTGGGCGGTTGGGCCCCTGTTGCCCCAGGAGTCCTCGACGTTCTCGAGGCCCCCAGCGCCCCCGACGTTCAGCGTGTGCCTGGCGGGGGCTCGGGCGGGCGCGGGCGGCCGCGACGCCCACAGGCGGCACTGGCGGAGGGTCGGGCTCAGGGGGGGGGGGGGCGACGAAAATGGGGCAGGGGACCCCCCGCAGCGAACCGCTAATGGGCGAGCGCCCCTTCTCTGGGGGGAGGTGCCGCTCCGAGCCTGGGAGCAGCCCCTCTCGCCCCCGGGGGGAGGGGCGACCGGCCCGAATGCAGCCGAAGCAGGGCCACACGAACGTCGATCAAGAACACGAGCACCTTCGCCGAAGGCCAAGAGACCCATGGAAATACTAAACATGAAGCACGTCCTGAGCTGGGGGCCCCAACGGCGAAGAAAAGAAGGGCACCGCTCCGAAACCTGGGCTGTTCTTGAACCTCGTGCCAGCTGAAAGACGAGGAGCACAGAGCAGCGGGAGCAGGGAGGAGCATGGAGAGGACGAGGCGGGAGCAAGAAGGGAGGAGGGAGGAGGATATACTAAGAGAAAGCGGCGAAAGCATCACCTTTCGACAGTCCGCGCGGATTTCTTGGATCAAAGCTGACCCCCCTGGCGGCGACCGCCCAAAGTTTATATTAATTGAGATGTTTTTTCCTGCAAAGGGAGGAGGGAGGCCGAGGACGAGCGAGGACGACGATGAAGACGAGAAGAGGAGGACGAGGACAGACAGGACAGGAATTGCTCAGTGAGAACCATCGACTGCTGCTGCACGATGCAAAACCGCAGTGGACCTAGGGCGGAACTGCCTTCACTTCAAGAGACACGTAGCACGCATGCTGAACCTCTTCACCTGCCAGAAAGAGGCCGAGGAGGGGTGAGAAGGGAGATGGTGGAGGAGGATGTGACGAGAAGAGGGGAGAAACGTGACGGAGTGATCGATGATCCAGGTGATTGGTCGTGTTTGGGGCTTTTCTCGAGGACCCATGGGGGCGTCGGGTGACCTCCAGAGGATGATGAGGAGCGAGGGCGACGACTGCATGGCTTTTTGTTGGGGTATCGGCATGCAGGTCGATATCAAATCGGATCGGTCGGATCCGAATGGACTCTGATGGGAACTCTTTGGGGTCCAGAGCCTCGGGGAGATTCTGGTTGCGTCAGGCCTGGCGGGTGGAGGGACAGAGAAGGGCGGAATGGAATCCGGAGGCAGGCCTCTACACCGCCGCTGCATTCCTGGCTGCTCGAGAAGGGTGCCACATGGCGTTCTCGATCACCCCCCGCCTTCTCCTACGTAGAGCTCCCCGCCTGCCCAGAACCAGCCAGGACCGCCGCGACCCACGTAGACAACTCCAGCTCCCTACAGCTAAAGCCTTTCTCCACATCATCCTCTTCCTGCCTCCTCCCTCCACCCTCCAGGATCGATGCAGGTGGATTGCTGGCGCCGCTCAGTGCACCTCCGCAACTTCAAAGTAATGTTTGTTTGCCACTTCGCAGCCTCCCCACCTCCAGAACTGCTTTCTTGCCGCGGATTGATATTTAATGATCGAGCGTGGCGGCGGGGGCGCCCAGGAATGCCCCCCCTCTCCGCCAGCTGCTGCTCCTCCTCCTGCTGATGTATGCTGCTGCTGCTGCTGCTGCTCCTCCTCCTGCTGATTTATGTTGCTGGTGCTCCTCCTCCTGCTGATGTGCCGTCAACTCCTCCTCCTCCTCCTCCTCCTTTTCCTCCTTCTCCACTTCTTCCCATCGGGACAGAAGCCTGTATATCAATTGTGATCAATTCGCAGGGTCTTTGTACCCCTGGTCACCCGAGCGCTCCTCCACTTCCTCCTCCTCATCCTCCTCCTCCTCCTCCTCCTCTTCCTCCTCGTCCATGTCCATGTCCATGTCCTACTCCTCCTCCTCCTTCTCCTGCTCGTTGTCCTCCTCCTCCTCCTCCTCCTCCTCCTCCTCCTCCTGGTCCTCGCTCTGTTCCTCCTCCTTCTCCTCCTCCTCCGCCTCTTCCTCCTCCGTTCAATTCCCTCTTCCTCCTCCTTTCTCTCCTCCTCCCACTCCTCCTCCTCAATCTCGTCCCCATTCCCTCCTCCTCCTCCTCCTCCTCCTCCTCCTCCTCCTCCTCCTTTTTCCTCCTGTCCATGTCCTCCTCCTCCTCCTCCTCCTCCTCCTCCTCCTCCTCCCTTTTTCCTCCTCGTCCATGTCCATGTCCATGTCCATGTCCATGTCCATGTCCATGTCCTCCTCCTCCTCCTCCTCCTCCTTCCCTGTCCCTCAAGTAACACCGGGGCCCTGGCCATTTTGGCAACGCCCCGCTCCTGTGCCTGCACGAGGTACTTGAGGCACTACGTGTTTATCCCTTTCCTTCCAGGTCTCAGGGATTGAACGTCGACCAAAACAGGAGTTTGGATGATGGCCCGCCTCTGGTCCCGCTGTTCCTGTCAGCGTTGTGAATACAACGACATCTTGGAATCACGAGACAGAGTCTGCCTAGGATGTAATCGGAAGGTCAAGCTGCATAAGAGATCATTTTTTTATTCCGGCCGGTAACGCTCGTTACCCGGGGGGGGGGGGGGGTCGTGCCCCCCGGGTAACGGTAACGCTTGGGCTGGGCGGGGTATGGCGAAGCAGGGGCGCTCTGCGATCGCCATAGTATGCGCGCGAGCAGCACTCTCTGCCTGAGAGCACCACAGTGGCTTGCGATTCGAGTACAAGCGCAAAGCCCGCCGCGTGGTCCCGGCACCACGCCCGCGCCCGCGCGCGCGACGACGATGATCGACGAGCGACGAGCGACGAGGTCGACGACGACGACGACGACGTTTGCCGCCTGTTTCGGCCTCCGGAGGCCGTTTTCGGGCGCCGTCGACGACGACGACGACGACGACGACGACGACGACGACGACGACGACGACGACGACGACAAGCGCAAAGCCCGCAAGCACCAGCATCGCGCATGCGAGCGCCGCAATGGCCTGCGAGCGCCCACAGTGCGCCTGCGACCACCACACCACAGTGCGCATGCCTTCGGGCACCAGCATGTTGGAGGGGAAGACCGAGACCCCCCCCGCGTACGAGCGGTACCGTTACGGGGGGGGGGGGGGGGGGAGAGGCCCGGGTAACGAGCGTTACCCCCCAGAGGATAAAAAAACAATCTCTAAACCTCGCCCTGGTTCAGCCGCCGCCCGTGCGCAGTCGCAGGCGCCAGAGCAGCCCCCCCCGCGGGCGCGGGCCAAGGCGGGGCCGCTCCCACCGGCGCGCAGGGCGGCAACGGCAAGGGGAAGGACATCCCCAAAACCAAGGCAGAGAAGCTGCAGGCCGCCTCGTCGCTCGACGTAGCCGAATTACTCCGCATGGCGGTGAAGGGCACCCAGGATGCAGATCTTCGGCAGGTGCTCGAGGCGCAGGTGAAGCGCCTAGGCGGCACTGCTCCCACCGTGTCTACGGGGCCTGCGGAGGCACTCAAGAAGGTGGTGGGCATGTTCAAGGATGCTGAGCACAAGCACACGCAGGCTGCGGCGCAGGTGGTGCGCCTTGAGGCCAACTTGGCCCAGGCTCGAACTCGCGAGCAGGCGGCCGCTTTGACGCTGGCGCAGGCCGAGAGGGCCAAGCGCGCGGCGGCCGAGGCCATGGCAGTAGCTGAAGGCGTGGTGCTTCGCCCCGAGGGAGCCACCCAGCCAAAGTTTGCAGCCAGCTGGGACAAGGAGCTCTTCGACGGCATCGATGACTTGGATTGCTCGGGCGCTGAGAGGACCGAGCTCAAGAAGATAAAGTTCGATCTAGAGCAGCTCCAGCAGGTCATGGAGGGCAAGGAGGCCGAGGTGTCGACGATGCTCTCCAAGGCGCAGGAGATGCAGGATCGGTTCCGCAAGAAGCGGAAGACCGAGCCTGAGGAGGCGCCGCCCGCGGGGGGATTGTCAGGCAGCGGCCCAGGCGCAGGCAAAGGCGGCTCGCCAGGTCCTGTGCAGGGCGCACCCCCCCCCCCCCCCGCGGCGGCGGCAGCGGACGCCAGCATGGGCAGTGTTGGCGGCGAAGCCGATGCAGCCCGACTGCCAGCTGGCTGCGACTCCGAGGATGATGCGGAGCTCCTGGCAGCGGCAGCGCGTCTCTCTTCGGCCAGGCTCGCGGCGCAGGCGCAGGCGCTCAAGGAGCAGTCGGCCAACGCCAAGGGCGCGACGGGCAAAGGCAAGGGAGCTCCAGCTAAAGGGGGCAAAGATGTAGCGGCGGCAGGTGCTGTCGATGACCCCGATCTGTGACTAGCTACCTCGTCGAGTACAGCGCCGAGCTCGTCAGTCAATATGGGAGAGACTGCAAGCGGCCAGGCGCGCACAGGGGAGCACCAGGACCAGGACATGGTACAACTATTCTTCTCCAATCTCACATGTGTGGGAGACAAATCGTGGGGTTATCTTGTTGGTAGCAATTTTGCTTTTGCAGCCGCTGTCGAGGCGCGTGTGTCTAGTGCTGATATGCCCACTTGGGGCAAGAAGGCGCGCGCCGCTGGATATCGTCTCTTGGGCAATGGAGCGCGCACTCGTCAGCGTGGAGTTTCTCGAGCTCAGCGCGCCCGTGCGAACGAAGGTGGCGAGTGGGTACTTGCCAAGGGTCATCTTCAGATGCAGACGTTGCTTTCAGATTCTGGAGGTCGCCCACTTCGAGCTCGTGGGCATCGTGAGTTGGACGGGTTTCAAGCCGTCCTGATCCATCTCAGCGGCTTCACACTGGCGGTCATCGTGTTCTACGGCTTCCCTTCGCTGGGGATCGCGGGGGCGAACCTCAGCAGGTTCCAGCGGCTCGGGGCTCTCCTGAACTCGCTGGCGGTGCCGTGGCTAGTTATCGGCGGCTTCAACGTCTCCCCAGCCACTCTGGGCAAGTCCAGCTTCATGCAGGGCCTGCGCTCGGATGCCAGTATCATGCACACGAATTTGGAGGCCACCTGCAACGTCGGGAAGCGGGATGCCAGCCACCTGGACTACATGCTTGTGTCGGCCGAGGCGCAGCCCATCATCGCCTCGTTCGAGCCTGTAGTCAGCGTGCCGTGGAAGCCGCACGTGGGCCTGCTGGTGCGGCTTCGG